CCACACGCTTCGTTCGCCGATCGTGCGTGCACGCGTTCTTCCAACGAAACGTCGCTTTCAACGGGAACAAAAAACGTATTCGTATCGTTTTACAAGAGGTACCAGACTTGGGGAGAGAAAATCTGATTAAGAATGGTGAATTGAAGTGAATCGAGAGAGCAGCGCGCGCGCGATTCTCTACCGATGAGTCACCGCGAGGGACATACCACTCGATCAACCAAATAATTCCATTGAAGAATGAAAGTAGTGAATGGTAATGACAGACCGGAAACAGCGATGATATCACACCTCGCCGTGAGCGCCTAACTTATTCTCAATTCCCTTTCGTATCGATCATGCTTCTCTCGTTCTCGTACACGCGCAAACTCCGTTCGATTCGTTCCAAGATCTTCGAGAGAATCCGATTGAACGGAAGAAAAAGAGCAATGTTGCAGGTATCTTCCGATATCGGTTCCCAAGTTTAACAACGGTGGCAAAGTATGATATAATCGCGTATTTATCCGAGCAATTTCAGACGCGGTCCATTCCTAAAATTATCTCGGTCGTATCACTCACACAGTGATGCGTCACTGTATCGTTGTTACGTTACACGTTACAGAAACAGTAGATATGAAGTTTTTAATAGTCACGAAAAAACGGGACACCGAGATAACGTTTAGTGTTATGCAGACTGTCGCACACTGCTCGCTCCACGAATTTTCCGTTCTACATCCACCCGATGACGAGTCGAGAAGAAGGATAAGTTGATTACAATTTTCAAACGCGCTGTACGCTCCCTCTCCTCCCACCGTTTCGTACGTGTAATTTTAAAAGCTGGAACACGCCGATCGATCTCGTATGCACGGTATGTATACGTTCGTTATTAATTCTCTAAACAAATTGCGTACCGTGCTACTTAACGAGGCAACGATCAACAATGTTTTACGTCTGCATCAGGGTAAACTACAACGCTATTGCGTAGCTTTCAAACGCTTGCAAAATATTCGTTTCTAGGAGCCGCGCATGCGCGTTACCATTTTCCGCAATTTAAGCGTGCCGAATTAGCGGAACATTGTTCAATGTCGCAAAAAACCAAGTACACGTTTACCAGCCAATTTTTTTTCCTTGCTCAGGTTTAAACAATTCCTCTTTCAGCGTCTTCGATGATATTAGCAACGTACGAAAAGATTACGTAGGAATCGTTATCGCTGGTTTATCGATTTATCGAACAATACGGTTGTACAGGCATCGGTACTACTGGTTGGGATAACCAAGAAACAGATTTTCCATCGAAATATCTTGCTGGTTGTTTCGCGTTGTAAATACTTATCGTTACACGATAATTCGCAGTGTGCCCGAGTACACGTGACGATACAGAGCAGACGGAAGGTCAAGTAGCCAGATTCCTGGTCGAAGAAACCCGGACAGAAATATTAAACTGGTAGGTGTATTCGACGTCCTATATTTAATCGCGCGCAATCACCTGGCTTTAGGTTAGCACAGGCTTGGCGACACTGTTGCCGGATCTACCCGAGAACTGATGAGAAACCCCACGTTGCCAGTGAAATATTTCCGGCGCAGACTTTTCGTTACGATCACGAACGGGGGGAACACGATGATGAAACGATGACTGTGTCCGTGTCCAACCGATTTTTCCTTTCAATTCTACCCACTTCTCCCAATTAGTTTTCTCTACGCGTGAAAATTTTACCTAGGTACTACTACTCTACCATTTTATCCCTATATTCGAGGTATCCAAGTATTCGTTAATTTTCAAAAATATCGTCCTGCTTACTTTCTGTTTCTTCGTACGCCCCCTCGCCCGAAATAACGTAGCAATTTCTTTCGAGCAATTCGGTAATTGCAATTATCGAAACGAAACCAGCCCAAGATAAATATGTCGCGCGGATCGAGGAACGTGACATCTACGTCGCGTTGATAAAAATACGAATTTTATCGGACGACTCCTGTTTATCTCCGTCTATCTATATCGCGTTACACATTACGACGTATATCGCGTACTTTTCAAGAATTACTTTACGCATCTTCATGTATCGATTACGCCAAGTATCGATGCTTCGCGAGATCCGCAGTCGAACGAAAATATTCAAGTAAAACAGCTACGGGAGAAATCGTCGATAATTTTCAGAGGTATACAATGCTGCTAAAAAAGAAGAGGAATGGAATTTTTCGCGTAAATAACCTTTATCTTCGCACCCACGCTTTTCGAGAGACGGAAAATGTTATTTAGTCAGGCAAACTGAAGACAGCTACCGTGAGAGGTGTGAAACAACGCTCTTGTTGTTAGACACAAGGCTGTACGTCGAGATGTCTAGTGAGAGAGAGAGAGAGAGAGAGAGAGAGAGAGAGAGAGAAACGAGAAGTTGCGTACACTTATCACGAATGATTTGAGGTTATGCTCGACATAGTGGCGCAGCTAGGTCGAAGAGGGAGCAAGCAACCAAACGGAGCGCCACGGCGCTACTTTCACGAAGCGAGAGCGAAATTCCTGGTCTCTCTCTCTCTCTCTCTCTCTCTTTCTGTGTCTCTCTCTCCTTAGCTAACACGCCCCGTCCTCGAGGTGTTCTCGACCGTTTCGTGTCGTGATACGAAGCAAGAGAGAACAAGGCGAGGACAAAGAAACCGACAACGGATCACCTTGCTTCCGGCGAAACGCGAATCGGCGTCATTGCGGAGACCGCACCGATTCGCTTCTTCTGCGACGCAGTATTATACTGCAGAGATCGATAGCCGGTTCTCTGTCCTCGACTTATCCATCTCCAAATGGAGGAAAACGCGACGGCAACATTGAAACAGAATTTCTAGCACATTCTCGATATGCAGCCATGATCGAGAAAAGAAAACCTTTGGTTATAAAGGAAAATGTTCGAAACGACCGTTTAGGTAATGGTTCATGCAAAAAGAGTAATTAGATAGAAAAAGATGGCGGAACGATGAGAAAATAACGAGGGGAGGAGAGAGAATAAAAGTGAGATACGAGTAAATGGAGAAAAACGTAAAAGGATAGTATGGAGAAAAACGTAAAAGGATAGTAAGGAGAAGGCGCATAGAATAGTAAGCGATAGAATGAATCGTCGTAGTCTTACCTATAGATTAAGTCTTTTGTACAATAAATACTTAAATAAATACACGTTCGGCGTATTCCGTAGTCTCGCGCGAAATCGGGAGGGGGGCCGAAAAACTGACTAGACTCTCGGTACTGCTAGTTCCTTTTTGTCCGGGGGGGTAAAGAGCGAGAGCGTATTACGCGGAGAAACTACGCCGGGTCTTTTTCCTCAGTCACACTCAGTTACGATACCACACATCCCTCAGTGACCACTCCCGCACAGCGACTGAGCCGGCAACGCTGTTCATGGTGGGGACTCGGCGCGCCTCGTGCCGGGATTCGTCCTTCTTCGACTTTATTCGGCCTGGATCGCCATCCCTCGGCCGTCCTCGTGCCCGAGCCGAAGTATTGATCGGTTTGCCCAGCATGGCCGGCGCGGTCATGGGTGGGGCAGTGGCGCACACGGCTGTCACTGCCCCTGTTCCTGTGTTCCTGTCCCTATCACTATCCCTATCCTTATCCCTGTCCATGTTCATGCCCCGGGATATGATGCGTCGTACTGCGCTGCGTTACGCAGCGCTGCGCGCTTCAGCACCATACATGAGTAACTCCACTCCTCTCTTCCTCATACTACCAACACCGCATATTATCCTTCTTTTGCTCTTCCT